CTTCCATCTCTTTGTTCTTAGTTAAATTTAAGCTCTTCTGGATGGTGGGAGAGAGAGAGAGAGCATACTGTGTTCTTCAGAACATGTCGTGAATTTTGGGATTCTAAGAATAATTACTGATAACCCATTTCTGAGATCAATGAGGTTTGTAAATGCATGTTTTCATGGGTGATGCTTTCTTAATAATTTAATTAACATCGATGATCATATTATGGGGCATAAAAATCAAGGGAAAAAAACCAACAACAACCCTCAAACAACAACAACAGCAAGAAAAGCAAAAATAAATACCAGTGTTGTCGGCCAAACTGGCGATGCAAACAACTTAATTGGGGTCCCCATTATTAACGCTTGCGCGCGGGTGCTTTGTGGTGCACTTGTGCAGGCGGGCAACAAATCACTGGGACGCACTGCAGTAACAGAAGGCCCGTATTGACAAAAGCTGATCCGACTAAAATCAGAGGCGCGGCGGAGACGCGGGCTCCGAGCCGAACAGACGGCTGACGCAAGGCGCAACTCAGCCCCCCTTCCCTTCAGTGTTGAAGCCAGGCCCTCACATCAACACACCGCCGAATCGATAACACAGGTACTGGTTTCTATTGTGTGCCACCCTCCTTCACGGCCTCATCGGTGACCCAGGTATTGTGCAGTAAGCCCCTCTCTACTGGTCCAAGTAATCGGCCTACTGGCGCTTGCTCGTGGTGTAACGGTTAAGCTGATCACTCGTGGCTCGTGTATACGTTGCCATGGAGAGAGACCGGAAACCACTACTTTCGTTTCCACCAACTAGTTTAAGTTAAAGAGAAAAACGATATTACATCTGACATCTACCACGAGGGCTCAAGTCAGTGGTTTAGCTTTTACGTTATCCATGGAACACAGCTATTGATTGATTCCAGAAATCAATATATCCATAAGGATCTTCTCTCAGCAAAACGCTTTAAAAAGTAAGCCTCACCCGCCTATCGCTCTCCTCGCCGAGCCCATCGACTCGTTTCGATAAGCACTTCCGGCACACACTTTGTTTCCGTCTGCGCAGGACGCGAGAAGAGAACTGTGGTAGCGTGCTTGGTTACGGCTAGAGGTGACAGCATACTCGGGCCGGGCATTGCGACGGACGAGTCAAGCCTTCATTCTATCTATGGCAGTGGACTGTCATTGTTAGTTTTATATGTGCAAAGAGAATTTACGTAGTTTTTCTATAGCGTTCAGTTGTTCTTGGAATAACCATGGCGGATGTTGAGGACGAAGCTCCTGGAGAGAAGGAGGCGAACAAGGGAGCGAGCCCTAAGCCTGATACGGAGGAATCCACAGAAGTAGCGCCTCCTCTTGTCTCTTCTAAAGATCCTGTTGATCAGCCAGGTAAGACCCTATTCTACATACTGCTTCTCTTTTTGTTTGTGTGATCTAAGCTTTTCAATGCTTGGGAAAATGGGCCAATGACGTCTTTCGTTGTTTTTGTTAACAACAATATACTGACTTCTTATTGACCCCTCCCCCCTTTAGAAAAAAAAGAAAATGTATCTAAAAACAACAACAACGAAATCAAATTTCTGCTAGTTAAAAAAAATGTTCATCTATGTGACCATTTGATTTCAAAATCTTAACACAAAACCTCACTATCCGACGGATATTCTGTGTCTTTTTTTTTTTTTTTGGGGGGGGAGGGACTCGAAACTTCAAGCGATGCATTTTGTCCTATTTCTCTCAAGACAAACGACAGAATTCACTCGCCTCAACGCAACCTTCCGCCCAGAAACAAAGGAAAAAGAATAACCAAAAAGAAATCAAACAAGAAGTAAAAATAGTTTAATCCGTTAAATTCATGAAAATTGAGAGAAAAACAAAAACTAAACAAAATGGTTTGGTTAAAAAAAATAGGCTTAATTCTCCCCTCTCCTTCATGCCTCTAAATGTAGTTATTTATACATGTATAATATGCCGTGTTTTAAAACATCATTCACCCTTAGCTTATACCGCGATTTTTAATTTGTGATCTGATATAATAACGCGTTGATAGAATTGTCTGTCTGTCTGTCTGTCTGTCTGTCTGTCTGTCTGTCTGTCTGTCTGTCTGTCAATCGATCGATCGATCGATCGCTCTGTCTATCTATCTGTCTAACCTTGAATCTTGTCTCGAATCTTTCGTTCACCCCCTCCCCCCTGCATTGTGGTAGCGAATGAATCATACTTTCTTAAACCCGTCGAGCAATAATAATAGACGTGACCATCTCGCCCTGTGACCGCCGCTGATAAAAGGCCAACCCGGGGAGAGGTATCTCGACTGTAGCACTGTGGTATTTATTAGCCATGGACAAGAAGATCTAGTTCAGTTGGTCTTATTGTTGTTCGTTGAAGTGGCCCCGGGTTGGTCCACAGAAGTGAGGAGAGATAGAGGGGATAGAAGGGTTGGCAGCGAACATAATATAACCGTCGTGTGTGGTGATTGTTCCTTTGCGATGGACATCACGCTACCTTAGAATTACAAAGTTCTATCAGACATTTTTTGGCCTTCGTGAGTTACTAAGACCATGAGGTCAGACCAAATGCTCTATACGCTCTTTCAAAATTGTAAGATTATTCGGACTCGTTATCAATAAATTTAAAGAAAGGCGTTAAAAAAGCTTGACATGTTGTAAAACTGTAATATTTGTACATCAGTTTTCTCTAGACCAGGTACTGAGCAGATAGAATTTTGTAATTTTAGCGTAGCAACCAGTGGCGGTGGGTGGACCAAGATTTGGGTGGGGCTTAGGTTTCTTCCACTTCTTTACCACCAAAAAGCAAGCAGTAAGAACAAAACAGTGATGATTTTTCTATACTCACGGCGAGCCACGGCATTTTGAGAACCATTCAAACGAGAAGAGTCACCTTTGTCTTCCATCTCTTTGTTCTTAGTTAAATTTAAGCTCTTCTGGATGGTGGGGACGAAGCCGTTTCACTTCCAAATTTCTCTAATTAGTTTTTATCTGAAGAAAAAGTTGCCTCAAAAGTGGTTTGATGTAATTAATAACTGTAAATATCAGAGGCACAAACACACAGCACTCCAAACACATACCGTCTATGAGATGGATTGGGTCGTGTTGTTGCGGAAAATAGAACGCGCCAAACAAAGGTCCAATGGGCGCAAGGGTAACTGTGTCACTGGGGGAAAGTGTGTCGTAAACTTTCACCCCATTGTCAGGGCTGGGAGAGCGTGAGCCCTGTGTGCTGTATTATTTTTTAAACGTCTTCTACCTTTTTACAAGAAGAGTTTCATTACAGACGGTCGTGGGAACCGGCTTATTCTTTCTGAGCCCTAACGACATTTGATTGGCTGTTAGGTTACTATAGTTGTAAGCAGTGACAGCAATGATTGGATAAACGAGCAAGCCGCCAAGCTGATGACTGTGTGTTCATTGCATACGACCATAACGGTTTAAACTGCTTATTTCGTTATTTAAAAAACTTTCATTAACTAAGTGTAGGGTATGGGTGAGAGGCTCAAGCCCGTAAGCCCTTCACTACCCACCGCCACTGGTAGCAACAATAAGACAGTACAGACAATCCTCGCCTACAGCTATCAAGGCGTTACTAACGCAGTTTCTGGGTCACTTGAATAGACATAAAGACATTGGGCATTTAGCTCTCACTAGCAAAAGTAAAGGCAAATAAGGTAGGGGTGGACCCAAAGCAGCCTAGTTGAAGAGCCTAAACAGATGGGCGACGGAAAAAGATCAGGGTAATGAGAGCTTTTTTTGGAGCATCCGAGCAAAGCAATGGGTGGACAACAGTGACCGCCGATGTCGTCGCATTTCTGATGACCATTGACAAAAGACTGAACTGGTGCTGAAGTGTAAACAGATTGTGTTCGAAATGAAACAAAAAATTATTTTGTCTTCGAATACTGAGTCCCTTTGTAATGTAGAGATTTTGAAGAGATTTTACAATTCACTAATTCAGCACCTTACTAAGTTTGGAATTTGTTGCTAGGAAGGGAGTATTACTAGTATTAGTAGTATTACAGAAGGAGGCTTAATGAAAGCGAATAGAATTGTACAAAGAGCAAGGATAACTGTAAGCTGCATTTTATCATCTGTCAAATAATTTTGTAAAAGAATATTTACTTTTGAATGCATACAATATCACCAAAGATCCACCCCAACCCACCTACCGAGCATTTCTGAAATCAGGTGGAACAAATGTTATTTTTTGGTACTACAAGAAAAGAACAAAACATTCATTTGGGCCTCAAGCTTCCAGGAATTTTGCCGAGGAAAGAGCGAGAGAAGTGTTGTTTTGTGTGTGTGTGTGCGTGTGTGTGTGTGTGTGTGTGTGTGTGTGTGTGTGTGTGTGTGTGTGTGTGTGTGTGTGTGTGTG